TCGGTACTGTGTCCTATGTTTTCCCGTTCGGCATCGACTTTTTAGTTTGACTCTCTTTTTTTTTTTAGTCACACCCAACGATGTCAAAAACTCGACAAATTTTGAAGAGATCGGTCTTCGTTCAACACATGTGCTGCTTCAAATATATAGCTCTTTTGTACTTTCCTTTTCATTTATTTCTAGGTTAGCGTTACTCCTCATCCTACCAAACTCTTTTCATAGGGCCCGTGGTAGTCAGCAAGTAGACACCCAAGGCCAGCACTCCATGTCACTTTCTAACCTAGCTTACAGGGGAAAAGAGGGGGAAGTGACAATATTCAGAATGTAATAATGAAACAATCAAAATCGGTATGCAGGGGGTTTAAGAAGTATTTCACCAAAGCTGGTTCGAAGAATCAAGCACTAAGCAGGCTTCAGCAACTAGTCACAGACGACTCAAAATTCACCAATCCAACCAAGTTCACCAAGAATCAAGGTCCTCGCAAAAAACACAAAACAGAGGGAAAATTTAGTGGCCACAACAGAAGAGGAATAAAAAAAAAAGAAAATTAGGGTCAGGGTTTCCGCGATTTCAGATCGATCTTAGGGTATCATCTGAAAATTGATTTTCCAATGATAGAACCATCAATCGAAGATTCAAGAACGCCTTACACACTCTCTGATACCACTTGTAAGGGAAAAAACCAACGGAAGCAGAAATATATTCACTAAGAATAAACCAAGAATTTCACAACACCAAGTTGTATATATCAGAATTTCATTGCACCCTTCTGCACATTGAAACAGCCATCATAAAACATCAAACCCCTAATCTATTTACCACAATGGTTACTCAATGGACCGAAGAAAACACAGGGTCAAACCAACAACACTAAAACTCTCTCTCGAACAACCACGAAGGCATCAACCACACAGATTGAAGATTAAAACCAAAGGTTTAAATCTGTACACAAAGAATCACTAAGAAACGAGAAGAGAGAACACTGAAGGACAGAAAGACCCAGAAGCTCTCACACGCGAAGGAAAGAAGCAACAGTGAAAAGATTTTCCCCAAATGATGCTTCAGCTGGTATATATATTATCAAGCATCAGCTGTTAGATCAACCAAGGAATCAACGGTCCAGAGCAGCTGCAAGTGGGAATAGATTTGGGCCGGGTTTTGGGCCAATCTCTTTGCGTTATCGGGCAATGGTAAATGACATTCCAACAATGGGTCGAGTCCAATTCATCATTGCCCCAAGTGTTAGAAGTAAATGTCACAAATGGTATCAAATTCCAACAAATCTCCCCCTTAATGCCAATGCCATAATCCACCAAACACATTAGAGTGTCATAATACCAACATCAAGAAGGTAACCACCTGCAGAAAAATAAAATTCCCACAGAATCAATTCTTAGAATTTGTAA